GATGAGCCACTGGTCATGAAATGAACGACGAGTGATATTGTTACAAAATTCAAACCAAGACGTTAATATAGCATCCTCTCTCTCTCTTGACAGCTGACAAAGGGCTGTTTTTTCTCTCACCTCAAGACTCTCTCGTCCTCTCTCTCCTGACAGCTGACAGAGGGTGGCTTTTCAAACCAAAGACATTAATGTCTAGTCCTCTCTACTTATCGTGCACTTTCTCTTCCTCCTCTCTCTCTCTCCCCTGTGCCTGCCGCAAAACCCTGGCCGTCCTCCTCTCTCTCTCCTCTGTGCCTGTGCCAAAACCCTAGCCCTGCTCCTCCTCTCTTTCTTTCCCCTGTGCCTGCCGCAAAACCTTGGCCTTGCCCTACCTCCTCCTCTCTCTCTCCCCTGTGCCTGCCGCAAAACCCTCGCCCTGCCCCACCTCCTTACTGCTGCACCCTCTCGCGCTCAAGATTGTTGCACCCTCTTACGCGCAATAGGGAAGAATCAGGTACACTCCTCTTTCTCTCTCTCTCGGCTTTAGTTTTATCTCCCCAATAGAGGACCATGTCTCTCTCTCTCTAACCATAACCCTGGCCCTACCTCCTCCTCTCTCTCTTACCCCAGCAAAGCCATTCTTTTCCTCCTCTAACCAGAGCAAAAAACCAGACATCTATAATATCAAAGCACAAGCCAAATAATCCAACAGTATCGCACATTGAAAGACCAAAAACTTGCCTTAGATCCCAATATTGCCTATCGACCTTAGTATCTGCTCCTATAATGATAGACATCTAGATAACATTCCAATTTTTTTAGATCACCATCATGCAGGGGTCTCCCTTTTAATGACAAGATTCACGTGGATAGAGGCAAATGCTATCTTATTGATAACAAAATATTGTATGCAGATCTATTATGTGTCCAATTATCTACATAATTTTGTTGTTTGGTTTTTTTTAGGAGGTTCACGTTTCTGTAATATCGAGGATCTTTGTTGTTCTTTGTGGATCAAATGCCATGTTGAAGCCCTTTGAAATATCTCAAGGAACAAGCATTAGACTTTCCCTATCATTGTAGTATAATGTACAATAATACTATAGATTGATGTGTGTTTGCAATTGAGAATTGCGTAACGTGCATTTATACTTGGTTGCAGATTGTTGAGTTATTAGGCTTTGTGTTTTTTTTTATTATTATTGTTCTATGTGAGTGTTTAATACTTTAGTGTTCCATTTGCAAAATTACTTACAGGGAATCGACAATGAGACTTATTTGCTCGTATTGCTTATTATAAATGATCAAATTATTGAACTGTGATAAAAGTTGTTTGCATTTACGAAAATCATCAATGACATTCACATTGAAAGATTTTAAGAATTCTGCAAATACTAAAGCTTAGATTTTTTATTGTTTATTTCAAGATTGTCACTTCTATAGCTCTCCATATATCATATGGAAAGAACCATGAGCTTGATTTGTTGGGATAGAATGTAATTTCTTACTTTCTGAATAACATATATGAAAAAGTGTACACTGAGTTATGTTCTAGTCAGTGCACACAACAAAGTGTACACTGTTGGTGATTTTAATAAAAAACATTTATTAATATTGATAAAAATTTCTTCCTTATGTGAGAAATCTCTTCCTTAAATTATTTTATACTTGTTATATAAAACCATTTATTCTTTATGTGCATCTAAGAAATCTCCAAAAAGGCCAACCACAAGAAGGCAAGTTTGGATGAGATAGAACTGGTTTTTTGGTGTATTTACATTTTCTTTTAAGGAGAGCACATTGGATATTGTGAAGTACAAAATTCATTCATTTAAAGCGAAATACTTTATGATTAGATCTCCTTTGGATTCATTTAAATCGAAATGCTTTGTTAGTCATAAGTTCATATAGAAATTTTGTTTTGTGTAGGCTAATTCAAGTACCTGAGATGGGCCGATCTATTTCAGGCAGTGTGTCATCGCCCACATTGACAGATCAAGACAACATGAGGGACGACATTGAACCCATCAAGCAAGATCACATGCTCGCAACCCCCCAAAAAACATTTATAAATACGGAAATCAAAGAACCCCAAATTGGAATGAAGTTTGGTTTTGAAGAAGATGCATGTGAATATTACAAGGTATTTGCATTGGCACATAGGTTTGGCATCCGAAAGGGAACTACACACAATAATAAGGATAGACAAAGAATAGATAGGGAAATTAATTGCTTTGGGGAAATGTTTAGGGTTGAGAAAGATGTCTTACGTAAAGTGAATATCCCTCAATCAATTTGTGGATGCAAGGCTAAGCTATGCATAAGCTTAAATTCTATTAATGAGTGGGTAGTGACTAAGTTTGTAAATGATCACAACCATGCCATTGTCTGTCCAAGGAAAGCTAGACTAATTCAATCACACCGAACAATATTGAATGCAACAACGTTGATGATAAATTCTATAAGCTCTGCTTTGATGAAATCTAGGAATATTTATGATATTTTTACAGAACAAGCTAGGGGGATTGAGAATCTCCAATGCTCACAAAAAGATATCGAAAACCACATAGCAAAGAACCGTAGAAAATTGAAAGGAGAAGATGGCAATCGTGCTATGCAATGGCTGTACGGAATGAATGAATCAAACCCTTCATTTTTCTATAAGGTTAAATTAGATGAAGATGGTCATCTAATCAGTATGCTATGGGTAGATGTCATGTCAAGGGTATTGTATCACCACTTTTTAGGCATGGTGACTTTTGATACAACACGCAAGATGAACTTATTTAGCATGCTCTTTGCTCTCATACTTGGTGTGAATCACCACTACAACACAATATTTTTTGGGTTTGCACTTATATTTGATGAAAAGATTGAGTCATTTGTATGTGTATTCGAAACGTGGCTAGAAGCAATGAGTGGTCTTCAACCCGGTGTAATTATCACTGATCAGGATCATGCAATTACTACTGCAGTGAGACAAGTTCTAAAAGAAAGTAGGCATCACTATTGCAAATGGCACATACTTATAAGGATGAAAGAAAAATTGTGCCGTGTATTGCGTTGACATCACACTTTTCCAAAAAATTTTAAGAAGTGTATAACAAGCCCAACTGTAGAAGAGTTTGAGACAGATTGGAAATCCCTTATTGAGAAATATAATCTTTAACAAAATGAATGGCTCATTAGAATGTACAATTGTCGAATGCAGTGGGTTGATGCAAATGTGGCTGATGCATTCACAGCCGGTATGTCAACGACTCAAAGAAGTGAAGGTATGAATAAGTACGTTAAGATGTACTTAACTCCCACAATAAGCTTGCACTCTTTGTTGGAAATTACTAAAAAAGTACATAAAAATAAGCTTTACAAAATGAGGGAGAATGACTTAAAGAACATCATTTCTACTCCTCTTTTGAGGACCACTACCTTCATAGAGGCACAAGTTTCGAAGATCTTTACACACAGAATGATGAAGTGTTTTGGGGAAGAAATTGCAGATTCAGCAAATTACAAGATTGAAGCCATTGAAGACAACGTCACTGTTGCCACCTATAAGGTGACATAACCTGGAAGTGGAACAAGGTTATTTGTTGTGGAATTCAACAGTTATAATCAAATTGCTTCTTGTACATGCCACTTGGATGCTAGGTTAGGCATCCTTTTCAGGCATGTGCTTAGAATCTTTTCGGTGGATAATATTTTTGAGATCCCATCACATTTCATCATGAATCGATGGAAAAATGATGTGCTAAAAGGGACTGTAGTTGATGAAAGAGGCAAGAAAATTCAAGTATCTTCTGAAATGGCTTCCTTAGCAATGACAGTAGCAACACTAATTTTCTTTCTCTCTCATCTCTCTCTCACATACACACATACGCACAAGCACACACAAACAGAGACCAAGAAAAATAAGGCCTTAAATTAATGAAAGTTACAATGTTTTGTGGAATGGTCATTGTTCCCAGCAAAAGAACGAACAAACAGTTGTCTGGAATTGCTACATTACAATAAGCCTGTCTTTGGTTGATACCTTCCCTTTGGAAGCATTGGTGTTTAATTATTCCCATCCTTATTGGGTAGCGAATCTTTTATTCGTATTTTAAATTAATGCTTTTTGGCTACTTTTGCTTCTGATAATGATTTATTTAATTCCAAATTTGCAGTGCTTGGCTACAGCTCTCTGATGCCAGAGTTTCAAACAAATAGTGTATTTCCTGTAGAACTTTCAATAAAGATATTGCAAATGACTAAATAGAAGGCTGATTTTGCTTGATTTTCCTCTCCCTTGCCTTCTTCTCTTATTAAACCTAAACTTTTGAAGCCAACTATTAGCTATTCAAGTAAGAAGGTATATTACGAGATTACGTATTTTACATAGACATTGGATCATTTCAACTATGTTCCATGGGGCTATGAAACTTTTTAGCAGAGGTATCTCATTAATTCTCAACTTTTCAACTATGTTCCTATGATAAACTCTTTGATATTTCGATAGTTTAACCACAGTGACTTCAAGTACCCTGTCCTGCTCATATAGATGCTAATGAGATGCCACGGATCAAAACCACATGCATTTCCCATAACCTTTTGAGCTCTCAACTATCACTGTTCAGAAAAGGAAATGCGCGAATGCCTAGTATAAGGGGCCTATGCACAATTAACTTTGAGGCCAAAAATTTGAGAGACACATTACTTTTTTTTAATGCAAAATGTAGTTTATTTACGACTAAGTTAGAAAAGTACACCTTACTCCTTTTTTATAAGGAGAAAGAAATATACAACAAGAAATACTAAACTCAAAGCTAATATGAATATAATTACACACTTCTCAAAATTCTCTTGGGCGCTCAAACGTTGTTGGTTCTGTAATAATGTGATCAATGACTCGAAGTTAAAAGTCGTTCACTCGAATATATTGCAGTCTTGGGAGTATCGAAGGTGCATATCGACCCACCCATTCCATAAATTATATGATTTGCACTTAAGGTATTTCCTGTTTGGATTTTGTTTGCTTCTAGATGTCTACATCTCACATTTGTGGCCACAATTTCTGCAAATCTTGATTGGATATGCTATGGTATTGCTTGTGGATGAACTTGCCATCTTCCCACCTACACTAATTATAACACAATTTTGTGAATGATAGACAGAGAGAAACCTGCTGCCATTAGCACTTAAAGTGGAGATAAACACAAAAAAGGTAAAATCACGACTATTGTACCACACGAGTTCTCTTTATAAGTAAATGAAGCTCAAATTCTTGATTTGTGTATATCCTTGTTGAGAAATCTCTACTTTAAGCAAATCACTATAAGTAAATCACGCATTCAGTTTTAAACATGACATTTATAAACTTGCTTTCCTGACCAACACTAAAGAAAAAAAATCCTCCTTTTTCTTCTTCGTTTTTAAGGTTATTGCCATAAAATTACTGACCCCCCCAACACAAAAAAAGAGAGTAAAAAGCTGGAAAAAAAGAAAAGAAAAAAAGTTCATGATCCTCAATTCAATGTGAATAATTCCCCAAGCCAAGCACAAGAAAATACTGGACGTAAGTAGGTTAATGGGGTGCACCAGACTCGAGCATAACTCAGTGTACACTTTTCATATATGTTATTCAGAAAATAAGAAATTACATCCTAGGCCAACAAATCAAGCTCATGGTTCTTTCCATATGATATATGGAGAACTATAGAAGTGACACTTATGAAATAAACAATAAAAAATCTAAGCATTAGTATTTGCAGGATTCTTTAAATCTTTCAATGTGACTGTCATTGATAATAAGCAATACAAGCAAATAAGTCTCACTGTCGATTCTCAATAAGTAATTTTGAAATGGAACACTAAAGTATTAAACACTCACATAAAACAATAAAAAAAATAAACACAAACCCTAATGACTCAGCGATCTGGAAGTAAAACATTTTGACTTTTTTCTAATCTAATCTAAAAAAATTGGAATGTTATCGAGATGTCTGTCATTATAGGAGCAGATACTAAGGTCGATAGGCAATATTGGGATCTAAGGCTGATTTTTGGTCTTTCAATGTGCGATATTGTTGGACGATATTGTTGGATTATTTGGCCTGTGCTTTGACCTTTATAAATGTTTGGTCTTTTGATCTGATTTTGCTTTGGTTGGAGGAGGAAGATAATGGCTTTGCTAGGGCGAGAGAGAGAGGAGGAGGCTTGGCCAGGGTTTTGGTTAGAGAGAGAGAGATACAGTCCTCTATTGGGGAGATAAAACTAAAGCCGAAAGAGAAAAAGAGGATGAGCGTACATGGTTCTTCCCTATTGCGTGTAAGAGGGTGCAACAATCTTGAGTACGAGAGGGTGCAACAGTAATACGTCAAGCACATGGGAGAGAGAGAGGAGGAGGCAGGGTAGGGCCAGGGTTTTGTGGCAAGCACAAGGAAGAGATAGAGAGAGGAGGAATAGGGCCAGGGTTTTGCAGCAGGCACATGGGAGAGAGAGAGAGAGAGGAGGAGAACGGTCAGGGTTTTGCAACAGGCATAGGGGAGAGAAAGATAAGGGAGAAGGAAGAAGAGGAAGAGCACGACAAGTAGAGAGAGGACGAGACATTAACATCTTTGGCTTGAAAAAGCCACCTTCGAGAGTCTTGAGGTGAGAGAAAAAGCAGCTCTCTGTCAACTGTCAGGAGAGAGAGAGGACGCTACATTAATGTCTTGGTTTGAATTTTGCAACAATATCACTCGTATTTCATTCCATGACCAGTGGCTCATCACCGTTGGCGTATTCTCCTTAAATACACGAGGTTGTGCACCATATCTTTTTCGTATATATATATATAAAACTCTTCCCAACGTTTATTGGCGTAAATGAACAGTGATTTCACCTACCCTCATCACCATCCAAATTTCATCGTACGATCATAGTTGTCCGGTAGCATTTCATTTTTCATTTTTTTTTCACAAATCCAAATTATGTGATATTTGGAGTGTGTGTACATCTTAGTGACGCACACCTAATAAAAATATGAAAAAATAATTCGTAAAACATAAATTGATCAAAATACCCTCGAAAATTTACAGGGGTATTTTGATCAATTTATATTTTAAATATTTTTTTAAATATTTTTATTAGATTCGCTTCACTAATATGTATACACGCTCTAAATTTCCGATCATTCCAATTAGTTAAAAAAAAAATGAAAATTGAAATACTATCGGACAACTATGACCGTGCGATGAAGTTTGGAAAGCGATGAGGGTAGGCGAAATCACAGTTCATTTTCACCTATAATCATTTTGTAGTATCTTCCATATATATATAGCCAATCCTCATCACTGTCCAAAGTTCATCGCACAGTCACAATTATCAGGTAATGTTTTATTTTTCATTTTTTTTTAAAATCGGAATGATCTGAAATTTGGAACGGATATTCATAAAAAAAATAGGCGAATCTGCAAAAAATATCAAAAAAATATTTTACGTGAAAACATTGACCAAAATACTCCTAAAAAGTTTCGGGGTATTTTGGTCAATTTGTTTTCATGAATTATTTGTTTTATATTTTTATTAGGTGCGACTCACTAAGATGTACACACGATTAAAACTTTAAGCTATTCTGATTTGTAGAAAATAAAAATAAAAAGTAAAAGACTATCGGACAATCGTGATCATACGATGAACTTTAGACGGTGATGAGGGTAGGCGAAATCACTGTTCATTTTCGGCTATAGGCGTTGGGAAGACTTTTCCTATATATATATATATAT